AACCATGCCCTTAAAGTTTCACAAATTCTTGCAGAGACAACAAATTACGCAAAGTGGCGCGGTCAACGTAGGTCTCTTGTTATTTACTTCTGAGGCTTCTAAAACAATTAATAACGACTCTATATAGATCTACCAGCAAGGGATACATGCGTGCCTCGCGTCGGGCTCCTGATCTGCCTCTGTCAGGCAGTTGTTCTTTTACGCATAAATGCTACCCGCGCACGCTGCACATTATCGCCATTTATTAGCCAGTGGCAGCATTCTCACACAGTAAGCGACATGATAACGTATGTTACATATACCATGTGATACACGACCAGAGACTCAGAAGACATTCAGCTGCTAGACGACGCAAACATTAAGTAGTGAGCGCGAGCGGAACTGTAGTGTGATAGATGACCAGAGACTCGTGGCATGGCTTTTATACGATTAGAAAATCGATTTATTGATTCTTAAAAGATCATAGCGTTCTCACTTATTCGATTATAAACATGCATCCCGCTACAAAGAAAATAGTGCTGACTTGCGAGAGCTACTGTTTGGAAGTACACGTAGCAACAGCAGGACGATTATGCTTTTTGCGACTTTTTGATTCAGCAGATTTGAAAACATCGTTGCTTGCTTTAAAAGTAGCACAACTCATTATGTCAAACCTTGGAAAGTATCTAGATATCCCTGCCCTAATGCAAAAGTAACTGGCAACTGAATATGTTTTATAGTTTGATGTCTATGTCTGGACCGCTACGTAAAAAGGAGGGTTTCTGCCCCGTTACTTCTCCGCTGTTTTCTTGTCCCAGTTTGAGCAGTTTGCTTTTCGGCCAAAATGTATACAGTTAAATCGAACGGACTTCTTTGTGCAGATGTGAGCGCCCTTAACAACGGTCAATAAGTCCTTGACAGCGGTCTGTCTGTTCCCGTGTTCTGAATTGACCAATCAGAATTGAGTATTCAACTAAGCCATGTAATAATATAAGAATAATACATGGAGCCTCTCTTTTGGGAGAGATGGGGTTATGGCGTATTGGGCGTACACACGGAGCAGTTTGACCCCCCAGAGTGTTCCGTCCGCAGATCTATCCACCTTGGGACCCGTTATCGTTTGAGGGGTCCGTTTCCGCGGTTCCGTTACGTTCCTGTGTAAACAGCGCCTCAGTGTCAGTCAGCTTTAGCACGAGTACAGACCTCTTGTTGACATTTGCTGAGAGTCTCCAGCACTTTACACTTCTCATCCAGGAGCTGCGTAACCTGCTCACCCATCCTCCGCTCTCTACCTGAAAACACACAAAACAATGCTCAGAACACATTCAAATCTTTGCTTTGTTATTTCTGGGAGAGTTTGCATAAGAAATGCAAATATATTTGCAATAAATTAAGCTACAAAGTTTTAAACGATTCCGTACAGCTCTAATAATTTGTGATGTATTTGTGTTAAGTCATAAAAAAAATAGATATTATGAAAAAATAAGTCAGAACTTACTTCGATACATTCTGCTTTTGACCTGTGAAAAATAAGAAGAAAGCAATGGTGAACAAGAAGTACTAAAGAGATTCATTTTTAATAAATAATCATTAGTTATGTGGAATGAATGGCTATGTGGGTAACGTCAAACAACAGACAAACTAAGACTGTCTTGTAAATTCTAGAAAATACATCACTTAACTGTAATGCAGCCTCTTAAAACGAGGAAAAGACTATCTAATACAATAACTTGTCTCGTATCACAATATGGATATAACATTTATATATTGCTGAGCCCTAAAAGGGATACATCGGTTTATAAATGGACCATAGGAACAAGTGGGTTGTGTGTTGTGTGATGAACAGTACATGTGTGTGTACTCACAGAGCTGTAAAATCTACAGGTGAACAGCAGCATCGTCACCAGCCCCACCAGGCCGGACACGATGACCGGTTCCCATGGCAACCCGTACAGGTTTGGACCGGGTCTGATGTCATCAGGCAGTGCCAATACAACCTGAACAAAGAGGGGAGGAAATCTGGTTAATTTAGGATTTGAAACATAATTAAAAGAGATGGGAAAACCTTGGTTTAATCTATTCAACTGAGAGGAGTCCCATTCATTGTGGTGAATGTTATTGTTATTCAAATTGACCACTGAATGTATATTATATAATTTGGTATCGCAAGTAGTAAGCCATGACTAGTAATCCTACCAGTCATGTGATGTAGTTAATTATGTTTACTCAAGTACTGTACTGAAGTACGATTTAAGGCTACTTCTACTTTACTTGAGTATTTTGTTATGCTATTTTATACCCACTACATTTATTTGATAAAATTAGATACAAGTTTCTTTACATATCTATTTTATTAGCTATTACAAAATATAAATAATCTCTGCTATAAAATTATAGGTTAAAATATCCAGCAGTAGTATATAAAGTAATTAAAAGTTGCTCCACTTGTACCAGCTGTGATGAACACAATGCATCAAAAATAACAATCAAGCTATTTCTGATAATAAATTGGGACATTACTTTAACTAAGGAAGTACTTTAACTTTTGGTACTTTAAGAATATTTTGATATTATGTTTGTACTTGTACTTGTAATGGAGTACTTTAAGATCATAGCATTTGTACTTTTTACTAGTAAAGGATCACAGTGCTTCCTGTTAAACGAATTAGATAGTGGCTTATCTAGAGCAAATGATCTCATACAAAGAGAATAACAACAGAAAACACCGCAGGAAAGCACATCACCTGCTCAGACAAACTAACGTTACTATCAATTAGCTAGCTAACCATTACTAGCTAAACAACATTACAAACAATTCTGAAAAAGCGACTTAAAATGTCACTGTAGTGCTGACAGCTGGTGAACAGCACTGGCACTACACACACATGAAGTCAAACATGAGCTGTATAAAAACAACATATGAACTTAGTTATAATACTGAGCTATTTTCCAACGCTTGACAATCTGTTAAGTTATGTCAGTTGGCTAGTTAAGAAATGCTAACAAAACCTGCCACATAACGTACATCCTTCACTTTCTCCACGGCGATACTGTAGTAAGCCTCTGCCGTCGTCTGGAAGTCGACCGCTTTAATAGCCAACAAGTCGCTTGCCGTAAGTTCCTCCATTACCGAATTAGGTCATTTGGTTATTTTATTGATATCTGTCATTTAAAACGGACATTTAAGAAACGGTAGCCATCAACCGGGCTAGCTAGCGGCGGATTTCACATCCTATTCACAACACCGAAGCTCAAGAGTGGACCACGTCACATTCAACTTCGTAGGGGTGGCTGGATGTTGGATACTCTCTAAAAACTCCTCGTAGAGATTCCACTAGGTTGCTATTGCCTCCGAACATTAACATACACATAATTGAATATATTTCCACAAGTTATAAATACCTATAAACTAGGTTGAGCATATACAGGTATGTGTAGATATGCTCACACCCCCACCAGTGTAAATGGTTCACAAGCAACGTCACCAATTGTAAACTGCCACACTGGCACATCGGAGCACTTTTAAAGTGACACCAAAAGAAACAGGTGTCACTAAATAGAGAGTTTTCAATGTCGTCTTTAATAACTTCTCAAATATCTAACTTCATTTTTGTATTCTTAAATCGTAAAATGTTTTTCTCACATAAACCATGTTTCTCGAAACATTTGTCACTTGTGTTGAGTTACGGCGGCAGACATTTAGACATAACAGGCCGGTCTGAACAGACCAGTCTAAAGTAGGACATAGGTAGGACACACTGTAGGGGAAGATTCGACAATCGCCAAATGTTTTTGAAAAGTACTTACCGACCTGGCCTCCTTTTCGTCCATTTGAAACTACAGAATTAATATACTCCTTAAAAATTTTTAAACACTTTGCCTTTAGAGCAAGTGGGTTCCCAGCTGGCTCAACGTGTGTAATAGAGCCACCAGCACTGAGTAATGTGAGTTATGATGACGGAGCACAGCAAGTTTGACAGCTGGGAGAGAGTCAGAGCAACATGTTTAATGCTTTAAAGAATTATACTCTATACAGGGTGAAAACACAGCTGTGTGTCTAATGGCGCATTTCCACTGCAGGGCCTCGCACGGCATAGTACGGTATAGTTTGGTACCTTTGTCCTGCTATGACCTCAGTTACAATTTTAGAATGTAGCCTATATGTAGGTTGCAATGCTGCAGGGGGAAAACATTGAATGAAATGTGGCTCGGCAGAACTGACAGTATTGTGATTTTTGCAAATACTGTAACGCTAGCAGTGGAAATAGACTGATGAATCACATATTTATGTTGGCTTCAGTGCATTTTGACCTTTTTAACATACAATGTGTTTTAGCTGTGAATTGGAAGTTGTATGACAAACACTTATACTTCCATGTATGTTAATGTGCAGCTCACTCTTACCTGTACAATAAGCCATATAAGGAGCTCCTTCACTGCATGAACATGAGTGGTTGAGTCTTCAGCAATCTGATGAACTAAATCCAAAATGTGCTTCATTATCCCTGGAATAGAGTCACAAACATAATGGAATTAAAAATGTATGCTTTCCCCCTTTTGTCACAATGATATATTGTCAAAATTCAAATAATTTATATTTAAAAAGGTATAATTCACTTCTATTCAAATATAGAACTTTCCTCTTAGCTGGAGTGTAATTTATCAGTCTAGATAGTTTTGAAGTGAGTAGCCGAGTGTTTGAATTACGCACGCTTCCTTTGGCACGATGATATGGTTGGCGAGTGTTTTACGGTAGAAATAAAAACTTTCCTGAAACTGCTCATTACAATGTCTGGATTATATTGACTAAGGGGAGCATGATTTCTGGAAAATAGTCATTGCTGTTGAGTTCCTAAATGTATTTTGAGCATTCGCGCACCGCAAGTCAAGTGCCATCTAGTTCCATTGTATTCAAGAGAAGAAACGGCCGATAACTCAAAAATAAGGCAACTCAAAACAAAACAATCTAGATTGATAAATAGCTTTACAGGTATGGGAAAACATTTTTCTGATTTTGAGTTAATCTCTGTTTCATGTATTAATGTACTAGTGTGAAAAAAATCTATAGTCTGTGGCCCTGTCGTGATGTTCCAGATTGTGTGTAGCAGCTTGAAGAATCAGCAGACCTCGGTCTTGTCATATCTCACTATATATCTTTTAATCATCTTGGAACCCTTTTTGATTAATGGATACTTGATTCACCCATACCTTCCAGAGGCTGTGGTGATCCTGGCTGATTCTCTTTCACTCTCTCTTCTTCCCCTCTTTGTCCCTTCTCTGCTTTTTTGTCATCTTCAGTCGACATCTCATTTCCTGTGTCTCCACTCAGTCTTCCATTCTCCTTATCAACTTTCATCAAATTATCTCTTGGAGCGTTGTCATCCAGGCCTACAGACAAATCTTCCTCAGTGGTCTGATCCTTATCATTGATGCGAGTTGAACAAGATTCACCAACACAGCTGGCCTCGGCTGCATTTAACAGGGAAACACATGCATTCAATGAGATTAATTGAGATCATCGCAAGTCAAACCCATACCAACATCGGATGTAATTATTGATATTTAAGGACATGTAGCCATACAATACTTTATGCTGCTGATTCACCTGATTTTAAAGTCTCTCTCACTCTTTCCAGAAGCATTTCTAGTTTCTGAAGTGCGATGAGAGCTTTGGTCTTTTCTTTATCCTCCTGAGGTGCATCCGCGAGCCTCATGCTAGGAGCGACCAGTGCCTCTCTGTGATAAAGCAAAAGTATTTCTATATCCAGCAATATGGATTCATCATTGTCCGGGTCATCGTTCACGGTTCCCAAGCTTCCTAAAATGTAATCCAAGAACTGCAGCTTATTTGGCCCAAAGAGTTCCACGAGGATAGTCGTCTCGTCGTCGCTCATGTGGGCGTGGAGGTTCTTGTACAATTTGGTGATGGTTTTTCTTTGAAGGTGGCTTTCTGGGGACGGAAGCGATGTATCTGAAGAGGTAAGAGAAGGCTGAAGTTGCTGCTGTGGAATGGTGATGGAAGAAAGCAACTCTTGCACCTGATTCGAATCAGTGGTTGATTCCAGTTCTTGATCAAGGGTAAGAGATGCTGGTTCCTCAGATGTCTCACCTGTGTTGGAATCCAAATTTGGGGTAGATTCTTTGGATTCTTTGGTTTCGGCAACGGGGGTTTCGCTAAAAAAACTAAAGGCATTTTTGAAAAGTCCAAATGCTCCGCCACTTCCGGTCTCTGCTTCCTTTTGATTCTGACTATCAGACGGAAGAGTTTGTTCAGATATTATATCCCGGTTTACGACATCTGGAAACTCGATTCCTCCGTCTTTCCTGTCTTCAGAACCAAATGCATTGCCATCTAAAATGTTCCCCTGTATATTATTAAGCTCCACGTTTATCTCCCTCTCCTCCCAGCTTTGGCCACTTTCACCTAAATCGAGCAGATCAATGTTTTCTGCCTCATTCTGCTTTCCATTCCTATTATCATCCCTTTCCCCCTTCTCCTGCATTCCATCGTCATCTCTCACTATGCCTTCGAATGGTACCTTTAGACTCACTCCTATCCTATCAGCTAATTTTTGATAATTGTCAGGATAATTGTCGATTGCCCCTTCATTTATTTGGCTCAACTTATCTGCAGAATCACCTCCATCTTCGGCCCTCCCAAATCCTTCTTGAGTGCCGTTTATATTGAACTCCACAAAACTTGAGTCAGGCCCTAAAGTGAGGTCAGGTTGGGTCCGAAAGTCCAGATCAGTGTCGTTTTTAGCTCTGAAATCTTCTCCTGACTCTCCGTTGCTGTCATCCTCCCCGTTTTCTATTGATTTGGACATCTGATGACCATTTATAGTCTTTGGAGAAATATCTTTTACATCAACCTTGGATTCTGCATCTTCAGGTAAGACACTATACTTACTGTCTAAAGTACCCATATAAATAGAATTACTGCCATCATTTTGGTCTTTTGGAGTTTCTTCAACCTTTGATTCGTTCGCATCTGTCAGTTCGCCCTGAGATTGACTGGTATTCTCTTGTTTTAAAGTTGGTTTATCTTCTATCTCCTTGAACCTACCTTCTGCACTCTCATCAATTTGACTCTCGTCTTTCCTAAAGCCTAAAATGTCCCCAATCCCCATATTCAACCAAGAATCTGACACTGGTTGTTCCTCCTCTGTGATTAACTCCCTATCCTCTTTTTCAGGTGTAGTCTCTTGCTCTGAATCCTTATCGGTCCGAACAAACCCCAATGTGTTCGGAGAATCACCTCCATCTTTGGCCCTCACAAATCCGTATTGACCAGCTTGAGGACTAAGATTGTTTGGACATTTGAGGCTCCCCTCTTCTTCTTTGTTCCTTATGTCGCCCTCCACATTCTCTGGACTCTCATTGTCTCTTTCAGTGTCAGGTAAAAATTGGACATTGTTTTCAATCTCAACCTTAAATTGAGACTGTACTGTTTGTTCAACCTCTTTCTTTTCTATTTCCTTAACTCCTTCCATCTTCTCTAACTCCTCTCTTTCTTTATCTTCTTTTGACCCTTCTTGTTCTTTGTGTTTTTCCTCCTCTACCTCGATCTCTTGCTGCTTCTCATCTTTTTTGAACTCCTCTATATTCTTATCCTGCATCTCATCCAGTTCCTCCTCTTCCTTAATTTCCTCTTCCTCCCACTGCTTTGCCTTTTCCTCTAACTCCTCCTCTTTCGGGTTGGCCTCTTCTTTTATCTCCTTAAAATTCTCCTGTTTCTCCTTGTCCTCTATCTCCTTCGTTTCCTTGTGTTTACCCTCATGCTTTATCTCCTTCACTGGTTGCTGTTCTTCCTCTCCTTTTTTTCCCTCTGCTTCCTCCTGTTTCCCTTCTTTCTGTATCTCTTTCACTTCATCCTGTATTCCCTCTTCCTGTATCTCCTTCACTTCCTCCTGTATTCCCTCTTCATGTATCTCCTTCACTTCCTCCCGTATTCCCTCTTCCTGTATCTCCTTCACTTCCTCCCATTTCCCTTCTTCCTGTATCTCCTTCACTTCCTCCTGTATTCCCTCTTCCTGTATCTCCNAAAGTGTCATGGCTGAATTCATGTGACATACAGTTGGTATCTGTTGATGAGCAAAGCAAGAGTTAGGCAGCATTTACACGGAGACGGAAACGAAAATGAACCGATTCATTTTCGTTTCCGTCTCCGTGTAAATGCTGCCTAACTCTTGCTTTGCTCATCAACAGATACCAACTGTATGTCACATGAATTCAGCCATGACACTTTAAAAAATACCACTGTTGATATATTGACCATCTGTGCAAAGGTTAACTGTGATATAGTTTAACCTGGACTAAGACAACAGGGTAGCTCACAGGGAACAGGAGATTAAAACGGTTTCAATTATTTGATCAGTGAAATTACAGGACAATAAACAAGGCAAAATGCAAAGGGTGTCACAGGCTGAAGGCTTATACGTAGTATAATTTTAAGGGACTAAAATATAGCAATTTGCTACAAACATTGGGGCAAAGTATTTCTACAAATGAAGGAAAGATGCTTTGTAGTTTTACTAAAATAGATAACGTGCAACTCTTTCTCAAGGAACACTTCTACACATTTAACACAAGGCTAGGATGAAAAAAGTTCAACAAGACATGAGGAAGGAAGCTCTACAGTGGGCCACGGTTTTAAATGCTTTCATATCTCGTTTGTTCCTTTTGGGTACATTTACAGTAGGCTACCCCTGTTTTAGGGGAAGTGTAAAAGGTGTTTAAAATAATAAAATACTCAAATTTTGTTCATAATTTATAAATAGCTTGGTTTTACTTATGTGGGATCTCTTACTGTAGGTAGATTTGACCAGAATGTCAGCAATAAAGAGTTCTGTTCACTATTGGTTACCAATATATTAAGATCTGTCCTAGGGGACTGCCCATTTAAAGAGCTCAGCCGTTTTATGCAGCACAATCTAATACTTAAATATGTAACATCTAAAATCTAAGTAATGCGCCAACTCAAAAGCAGTCACTTTTTTTCAGGTTCAATCTTTTTTTTTTCTTTAAAAGTTCTATTTTATGATGCAACTCAGTGCTGATCTTACTCGATGTTATCCGTTTCTATCACAGTATCCCAAGAGGCTACAATCAGTTCAAGCAAACTGTTGATCCTTTTTGGTGTCAAGCATTTCTTTGTCGTCCACGTACTGGCTTGGACTTGTCAGTGATAGATCAGCGGTGTTCGCTTCCTCAATGCTGGTGTTGGACAGGTCTAAGCCTGTATCCAACAGAACAGAGGAGCCAGTGGAGGACGAAGCTGAGGCCTCCATCGCAGAAGTGGTGCTGGCGTCCATCTCACTGTTGTTAACCGTCCTAAGGGAGCAGGAATAAATGCTTTTAACATGTGGAACGATGTGAACAAATGTAAGGCTACTAGTGGGGGAACTAATTCATAAATGCAGATATACACTAATGAAATAAATGCATATATATGCAACCCATATGAAACATATGCCTTTGAGGCTGCACTTTGAGCTAAATGCTAATATGTTCACAATCAGAAGTCCTTTATTCATCCCACAAAGGGGAAATCTACATTGTTACAGCAAAGTATAGAAAGAGATGAAAACAAAGTAGAACACTATCATATAAAGAGGCATGCACATAGTATTTAAAAATGACAATGTCAATATGCTCAAGTTTACCAAGTATGTTTATGTTCATCTTATTAGTTTAGCATGCTAATTAGCCCTAACCACAAAGTACAACTGAGGCTGATATGAATGTTGTGAGTCCTCACTTTGAAAGGAAAGTACACAAACTCTAACACAAAATGAAAAAGTAGAGAATTAGAGAAAAAGGAAATAATACTAACATGCCGTGTCGCAGAACATGGCGTTCCCACTCGAGGCTGTTGGTGAAACAGCGGCCACAGAACTCACAGGGAAGACGCTTCTCTGCCCCGCCCGGCGCAGAACAGCTGCTGCTGCTGCTGGTGGGAGAAGCAAGGACTCCTGGGAAACAGAGATCAAATGATTGGTCAGTTTCAGAACAGTGTTGATTTCCAATTTGCTCTACTATTTTAAAACAATGGAAATATTTAGCAATCTAGTTTCTTATTATCAGGCAATCAGTATTACATACAAAGCAATGTATTAGAAACTAATGTCTTCTCTTGAGAACAGGCGTGATCAGAATTGATTAGCTATAGAAACACTTTTTCCTTTACTGAGCTACCAGTCAAAATGTCTCGGTGAATAATAAGCCAGAAGAATGGAATACATTTATTTTTTTAAATACAAGACAGTAGCCATTTTGGAAGAAAAACACTGCTCATGAAGAATAGCTTAAACACATTAAAAAAAGAACAAGTCATCTATGGGACTCCCACTAATCTGGCAGTATGATTGCTTTCTTTCTTATTGCCTCCAATTTATTTGGCTTAAAATTAGACACAGGAGATTTTTTACACACTTCACATTTGATAAAAAAATTAGTGTGAACACAACAGAAAATGGCTTTTCATCAGATTTAAAAGTTCAATCCCAAAAGCTTTTGGAAAGAAATATATTTTTGTGATATGCCCTTACAGCAGGGGTCTCAAACTCAAGGCCCGGGGGCCAAATCCGGGCCGCAAGAGCTTGCAATGGATATAATACGTTTATTATACGGTTACGTGCCACTTTACAGATGCAGGTTGCCCATAAACTACATGTCCCATAATACATCTTGTTTTGTGACATGCGCACTGAAGAGACTTGCAATGATTTGCCCTGGACTTCTGCTTTCAGACGTAGTTAATTACTAAGTTATTATCCTATCCGATAATAATCCAATGCAGAGGCAATAATGTAACATAATACATTATTTTATATATATATTTATATAGTTACAGCCGGCCCTTTGAGTGCATCCTTTTTGCGAATGTGGCCCGCGATGAAATTGAGTTTGACACCCCTGCCTTACAGTATGCAGGTTGTCCTTTAGATATAGACTATCAACAGAGTGAGGATGAACATGAGTAGATATTAGGTAGAACAGGAGAGCAACATAGATCACTTCATTTGTATTTACCTTGTAGGCGAGGCTTCTCCTCATCCAGCCCATCTACATCTTCTTCCTCCTCCTGCTCATCCTCCTCTTCCTCTTTGATGTTGCCCTCCATAACGTCATCATCCATCTCTCTCTGTTCCTCCTCCATGTTCTCCATCATGTCCATGTCTTCATCCTCGTCCTCGTCCTCTGCAGCTATTTTTCTGTCTCTAACCATCTCAATGATTTCTCGAGCCTCCTCCTCCTCTGCGCTGCTTCCTTGTTCCTTTATCATCTCCAGCTGGTCCAGGTTGACCCGGCCCATCAGCTCGAAGTTCCGGATCACCTGATCAGAAACAGGAGGCAACAATCAATTTGGTATAGTGTGCTCTGGGCAGTATTAATCTTGGAGAAGTCCCTGTTTTTATCTGGGGCAACTTTCTTTTGCCTTAACAGGTCACTATATTTGCACAATGCATTTACATTCACGTGTTTTCAGGTCTTCCTTCTTTAAGTAATAATCTTAAAAAGTTGATAAATCAAATGACAGACTCTCTCGAGCCAGAGCCACACATATATGCAAACAGAGTTAGGTTTATACATATACTGTATGTGGTCGCAGCTGTTTGTCTGTGTAAAGAAGTGTTTGCGTAATTTATTCATTTTTAGATTTTTCCAAGCTAAAAGTCCAATGCATCTGTCTGGTGTGCGTTAACTTTGTAGTCTATGTGACCCTGGTCTACAGAAGATTATTACTAATATATCACTACCACTGCCAGGGCACATAACTTCAAACACTTGCTGAAGAAAGGGCAAACAAAAAGCCTGTTCCTGCGTCAGTTAGTTGTATTTTACTGCTTATTTATAGTTTCCTTGCCTGATTACATATCATTTCTTTAAAAGATACATCAGTTATTTTAAAAGTTCTGTTCGCAGGATAATTAATATGTAATTGCTGATGATATGTCTGATTTGGTAGTTGTATATTGGATTTGTCTTAATATGTTGACACTGTAAATATGAGTGAATTGACAAACAATTACCATAAACCAACAAAAGCCATAAATAATTATTGAACAGGTTATATTGAGTGTGCAAACTGCAAACATCTTCTGTTACAAGCGTTAAGCAGACCGATGAATAATACTTAACCACATCATATAAGGCTCTCTGTCTGAGCAAGGCAGAAAGTCTCTAATTATATTCTAGAATGTTAGGCTTATTAATCTAAATTTAGTTACACCAAACTAGTCTAAAGGATATTGACTCTCACCTTGTGCTCCAGGCGCAGATGCTCCTCTAGCTGGCTGCGTTGACTGCTGTCGTAATAGCAGAGCTGGCACTGGTAGGGTTTGATCTCAGCGTGCTTCTGCAGGTGCAGCTGCAGGGCCTGGTCACTGGAGCATGTGAAGGTGCATTTGTGGCACCGGAAAACGAGGCCCTGCAAGTGGCGCGACAGCTTGGAGCGGCTGACCTCCAGCGGAGCCACACGCTCCTCTGGTGAAGGGAGAGGGGAGCAAAGTGGGCTATTAGGTGGAGAAAGACATCCTACATACACAGCAAGTAAGTTATCCTAGTGGCGTTTTGTGGTAAGGTCAAATGCATGGTTTTATTTCGACTTTAATGGCATCTAAAGGAATAGTTTGACATTTTGAGAAATACTTCTAAGTGCTTTCTTGCCCACATTAAGAAAAGAAGATTGCTACCACTCATGGTAAATGTGTTTAAGCCAGTAAGCGCAGACACTTCATGCCACACCAGGAAGTCACAGGAATAGTCCGGGAGCAGCTTTTTCCAGTCTTTATACGAAGCTTGATCTTTTCATTGTGCATTTCTCAAAATGTTTAACTAAGTTCACTCTGTTTCTGATTCCAGTTTGCATGCTGCTTACCTCTGTGCAGGACAATGTGGTCAATCATATTGCTCTTGTGTTTGGTGTGGTAGAGGCAGAGAGGGCAGCGCAGGTCTTTAGGGAGGCTTTCAGGTGCATTGTTGTTGTGACCGGCCTCCACATGTGTAGTGAAGGTATTCCTGAGATAGATCCAGAAGAACAGAAATAAGGATCATTCAAATATTCAGGATATTTATCCATTGCTTTTACATCTAGCGGTTTACAGTTGTATCTCGGTAATAGTATTTCCTCTTTACTCACTTGTAGCAGGTGAAAAAGGAACAGTCTTTGCACTTGAAGAGCTTCTTGCCTCCGTGGCGGTCCCTGTAGTGCCGGCGCAGGCTCTGCATGTACCCAGAGCTGAACTCACAGAACTCACAAGTGAGGATGCTGTCTGGTCGATTATCCGCCAGCGTTGAGCTGCCAGGTGTCGAGCTGGAAGACTTCTGACTGCGGGAGGCCAGCTGGTAATGACTGAGCTGCTGACGGACATCCGCTGTCTCCAGGTATGATGGATCTTAGAGAGGGGAAATGGAGAGAAACGTGTTCATTATTATTTTGTCACATACAGTACGTATTCAAGTGGGAATAGAACAGATAAAAACAATGCCTTAAGGATTAAACTTTAGTTTCCAACCTTTTTATAGAATATAATTGGGAGGGATGAAACCCTCTTTAATGGTCACACATGCAGAGCACACAGCACACACAGTGACATTGGGCCTCTGCATTTAACCCATCCTAGTACCAGGAGTCTAGTACTAGGAGCAGTTGTTGGCCTCTTACACAAAACGCAGAATCTAGTTGGGGATACTGCCATGTTTCAAATGTTATAAATTGTTAGTTCTACCAAGGAGACATCTCCCTATAAATGTCTCAGATGGTTCCATTTAAATGTGTCTTTGAGGCCCAGAACCCCC